ACCAGCATATGCCAATTCAATACTTGTTACAATGCGTTATAATTTAGCACGTGTATGTGAAGCATCTTTTGAATTTGATAAAGCTGAAACATTATATAAAGAAATTTTACGTGAACATCCAAAATATGTTGATTGTGTACTTCGTTTGGGTTGTATGGCACGTGATCGTGGACAAATTTATAGTGCATCAGATTGGTTTAAAGATGCACTTGAAATTAATCATAATTCACCAGATGCATGGACAATGATTGGAAATTTACATGCTGCTAAACAAGAATGGAGACCTGGACAAAAGAAATTTGAAAGAATATTACATAATCCACAAACAGCAAATGATTCATATGCTTTAATATCCTTAGGAAATATTTGGTTACAAACTTTATATATGCCAACACGTGATAAAGAAAGAGTAAGATTTATTATACAGAAAAAAAAAACAAACTTCATTCCATCGTCGTTTTTCATCTAAACTTTTCTGATTTTCCATTTTTTCTATTCTGTATATGCTTCAAATTGTTTCCCATATGATGAATTAAGATACAATTATAAAGGACGAAACATTTGAAATCGTAGAACATTTTCGTTACAACATAAAAAAAAAACTTCATGCTTTTTGACAAAAAAAAGTAGCTAATCATCCTTCATTTCTCATGTGTAACACGTCTGTCTAATAGTCATGCATTATGGAGAATGCACTTAAGATTTTGATATTTTCATTCAAATAGCAAGAGATAAAAGGAAACAGAAAAGAAGACCAGACACCCTTAACAGTATCTAGTATCTATAGAAATATGTTCAACTCTATCACTCATATTGCAATTGAGAAAAAGGTACAATAAGGAAATTCATTTTTAGTACTTGCAATCATAATATCTTGTACCAGTAAGCATTCATGAAGTTTCAAATTTTTCGGGTGAACTTTTCCTCATAAGTACTTGGAGATGAAAGACTAAAGAAACTTCCAATTCGTGCCGCATATGGTCAAAATTCTTTTCTTTTATGCGAGTGCAATAGAATTTTTTTACATAGATTCAAATACTATTTTAAAATGTTACTGGTGTTTAAGAGATGAAATCGAGATGTGAACGAAAAAAAAATTAATAATTTTGTAACTACCTAAGAATTCTTTCATTTGTCTGAAGTTTCTTTAAAACAACTTAAAGAAATAATTTCAGAGTTACAGAGCAGATCTATCTCTATCATTAGAGAAAATTTGTTTTACTTTGATAAAAAAAAAAACTTAATGTAGTCTATAGATAAGTCTTGCAATTTCTCTTCATATCTCGGGAAAAAATTAATCATTTTGGATCAAAAATAAATCCATTAACATTTCATTTATCATGATTCTCCGTCGTTACCTTTCATGTTTGCATATGAAAACTTCTCCCAATAGAAAAATGAATGATACAATATTAATTTTTCTACTTAGGAAAAACGTCATCAAGCTCGTGCTCTTCAAGTATATAAAGTTGTTCTTAAAAATGATAATCGAAATATTTGGGCAGCAAATGGTGTTGGTTGTGTTTTAGCTCACAAAGGATATTTAAATGAAGCTCGTGATATATTTGCACAAGTTCGTGAAGCAACTGCTGATATGCCAGATGTTTGGCTTAATATCGCACATATTTATGTTGAACAAAAACAATATATTCCTGCTGTACAAATGTATGAAAATTGTTTAAAAAAATTTTATAAATATAATAATGTTGAAGTATTAACATATTTGGCTCGTGCACTTGTTAAAGGTAATCGTTTACATGAAGCACATAATGCTTTATTAAATGCTCGACGTGTTGCACCACATGATCTTACATTAATGTATAATATTGCATTAGTACAGCAAAAATTAGCTCAAGAAATTTTAAAAGATGAAAATTCAACATTAAATGCCGTTCTTCAAGCGATTGATCAACTTCGAATTGCTCAAAAGTAAAATTCAAATTTTAAAAGATAACTTATTTTTTTTATTTCTTTGTTTTTTTTTCAAGAACATTTATATGGCTTGGTGAACATGGTGATTCACATCGTCTTGATTTAAATCAAGCAATACAAGAAGCTCAACAATGTTCAGATTTATTATCTCAATCAACTTATCATGAAATTCGTGCACGAAAGAAAGATGAAGAAGAACAACTTGTACGAAGAAAACAAGATGAAGAAAGAAGAAAATTACGTGAAAAACAACTTCATGAAGCCGTACGAATTTAACTGATTTAAATTTTCTTTTGGCCTTCTTAAAAGAATTTTTGTTTTTCTCAGGAAGAACGACGTCGACAAGAAGATGAACGAAGACAAATGGAACGTGAAAAACGTCAACAATTTGTTGAACGTACAAAAAATTTATTAACTACAGAATCACAAGTTACATCAGAAAAAAGTCAACGATCCACGGGTGGATCTAGAAAAGTATTTCATATTTTGTTCTTAAAGATACCTTGAAAAATCGATTTTAACTCATGAATATTCAAATCACATAAAGATATTATTCATCAAACATAGCTAATTTAGCATTGTTAAATTCTCTATAAACTTTTATTCTAATATACTTCATTCTTCTTTTATTTGAAAGAGTATGTCAGAGTGCAGTGTCTGACACAATCTTTCAAACAAAAAGAAAGTTAAAGTCTATCAAATGAATTCCTACAGAAAAGTTGAATTGCTCTAAATTAACTATTTTATGATTCTTGTTTAACAAATATGCAGGTCACATAAGCCGGATCATAAACGGCCATTTGAAATAGTTTTTTATTGTGTTGGGTCAGTGTAGTATTACTACTGTATTTCTCAGTATCATAAACGGTCGGACAGTCAATATTTCAGACTGTCATCAACTTTGTATAGGACAATATAATATGATCGCAATACTGCACCTACGAAATCTTAGTTGAAGGCTAGCTACGATTGTAAACTCTAGTAAATGATAATATACAGTACTGCTTATACTCATCTTGACAACAGTAATCATTGTTCTGCATAGCGAGTTGAAAATTTCACCATATCTTCTCTACTAAAGTCCTAAAATGTGCCAAAAGCTTTATGCAATCAGATAGTTTCTGTTCCAAAACTGATTGTTAAGGGAGGTGGAGCCTGACTATTGTTAATTTTCATTTTTTTGTTTTCGATTAATCTAGAGACCAAAAACTGATCAAGAAGATGAATTTATTAATGATACAAGTGATCTTATCACAAATACAGAAAAAGCACAGAAAAAACGAGCAAAAAGATCTAACGATGGTGAAGATAGACGTGAAAGAAAATCATCGAAGTACGTTATTTAAATTCCTATTTCAATCAAGAAAAATAGCATTTGATTTTTTTCTGTTTTTTTATTTGTTTCATAGAAAACGAAAAGGAAATGCTGGAAGTGATAGTGAAAATGAAAATGGTGAAACATATAAACGTAAAAAGAAATCAAATCATAGAAAACAATCAAGTAGAATAACAACAAATGATGATGAAATATCTCAAGATAATGATGAACAATTATCTGACAATGAAGAAGATAATAATGAAAGTGATAATGAAGATAAATCGAAACGAAAACCAACATCAAGAAAATCAGTAAAAAGACATCAAATTTATGAACATAAGTTGTTTTATGATTTGTTTGTTTTTTTTTTAGACAAGTCGATCAAAACGTTCAAGTACATCAAAAGTATGTTTTTCATTTTATTTGATTAGAAAGGTTTGATTTCTTTTTGTGTAGACATCTCAACGACAATCGGAACCAGCTGGTCGTTATAAATCAAAAGCAACTATTTCAAGTAGTGAAGATGAATCCGATAATGAACCATCACATCCAACAAATCGATCGGTTGAAGATCAAGAAGGAGAGGAAGAAGAAGAAGAAGAAGAAGAAGAAGAAAATGAAGGGTAAATCATTATATTATATATTAACATTTCTTATAATATTCAAATAGTTCAAATTTTTACTTTATTTTTTTTTTCGAAAAGTTCATCTTTTACTGAACTATGTAGAGATCAATTTTTCCTAGGTTCAAGAAAATGGCACTGTAAGCTATATAAAACGACGAAAACTAGTTTCATGGTGTCGTCGTTTTACATAAGCTTATAAAACAGGATAACTTGTTACATTACAACTATAGGAACAAAGAAAATCAAGAAAGGCTTATTCTTAAAACTCTCATTCCATTAGTTGACCAAGATCTTTTTCTCATTCTTTAAAATTAATTTCTTAATAATGAAGTCAATGAACTCGTATGTCAACACAACTCATTCTTATTATAACTTATACAAATGTATTGTTTCTACTTAATTCAGAATAGTGCATAGAGATAAATAGAATGATGATAACTCTTTATTTTTTTTTCTCGATCTCAATCTACAAAAAATGATTTTGTACGATTATGTTTGCACAAGACTTGAAGATTCTATAATTCTTATCGTTAGTTTATTCAATCAACAAAGATTACAATTTTCTATCTTTTTATTCTGAGTTTACTTTTTTACGAGAATAAAATACAAGATAAATTGTAGTTCTGCTGATCTGTAATCGTCTATTTATATACATAAAGAAAAATCTTACGAATAGTCTGGATGAAAGAAAATGACATTTTTGTAATTAGAAATCAACTCTCGAACTTCCCTTTTCGAATTATTCGTTCATACATTGACTTCGTCAAATATTTTACTGAAATTAACGTTTCCTTTTTTTTTTTTTTGTTTTAGGTCACCTGTTGAAGACGTTGAACAAGAAGAAGAAAGAACAGCTCAAGATGAAGAACAAGAACCAGAAGAAGAAGAACAAGAACCAGAAGGAGAAGAACAAGAGGAACAAGAACCAGAAGGAGAAGAACTAGAGGAACAAGCACCTGAAGATATAGACGTCAGTGACGAAGATTAATGCTTTTTCTTTAAGGACATTAGATATTAATTGTTTATTGTACATTGTTTTTCGTATTTAACGACAATATATTGAGTTTCAAAGCAAAAAAAAAAAGATTGATTTCTCTTTTTCCTATATTTCAGATTAAATAGATATGGCCAATACTGATGTACTCGATATTTTATCTGATACAATTCCATCAACAAATCGAGGAACAGCAAATAAAGATGAAATTATTCGTGAAAAAGTATTTTTCTTTATTTTTTGTTATTAATTTCAATTTATTATTGTTATTTTTTTTTTTGCCAATTAGAAAAAAGGTCCAAAAAAAAGTATTCGTCGACCAGAAGGCATGAAACGTGAAGTATGGAGTTTAATTGCACAAGATGATCGGTAAATTAAAATGAAAATCTTCTAAATATAAAATTCTTTCTTCTTTCAATATTTAGTGAAAGTGTTCCAATAGTTCCAACCGATACAAAATCTGGTGGTAATTCTTATGCTAAGTGGATAAAACATTCTGCAATGAAAGTTCGTTCATGGCAATGGACACCATTTACCAATTCTGCACGTGGTCCGAATGATACATTTATTCTTTATCATTGGCAACATAAACCAAATCCTGATGATCCACCACAAGAATATTCATTTGCAAAATTTAATAAAGTAAAGAAAAACAAAATTAAATTAAGAGTTTTTTTTTTTTTTTTTTTTATTAAAATTTTTCTCTTTTCTATAATAATTAGCATGTTGATGTTCCAACATATACAGATAGTGAATATGAACAATATTTACAAGATAAAGATTGGAGTCGAACTGAAACCGATGTTTTATTTGATTTATGTAGAAGATTTGAATTAAAATTTTTAATTATTCATGATAGATGGAATAATATTTTATATCCTGATAGATCAGTTGAAGATTTAAAAGAAAGATATTATACAATATGTACAACTCTTGAATATGTAAGAATTTATAAAAGAAAAAAACAAAAAAGTTTTATTTTTTTTTTTTTCTTTCTGTTTTATTAATTTTAAATTTAAATAGGCTCGAACAAAACGTCATACTGATAAATATAATTTTGATGCTGCTCATGAACGTCGACGGAAAGAACAATTAAATAAATTATTAAGTCGTACAAAAGCTGAAGTAAGAAAATAGTTTTTAAATAAATGAATAAGAAACTTGTTAACACAATCCCTATTGGATTAAAGTGTAAAACACGATGCAATTGTCTATATTGTAAATAACGAACTTTACTAATATACATAAATGGACAAAGGACTCAATCGTATTCTATAGAATTCTATTTCTGTCTGAAAAAATTTCAAGAATTCGTTACTTAGCTAGGAGAAAGCATCGCAAAATTTAGGGGAATAGTCTTTTGTCAGATTCAATGCAACAACAAAGTATCATTCAGAATAATTCTCTTTGTTCTTATGAAATCGAAGCAGAATTTTGTCATTGATCTACATTTTCAACGGAGTATCTACTACAGAGAAGTTATCGTCTGCTGCTAATGTATATTGATAATAAAAGGTATTAATCGTAATATACTACAGTGAGTAAGAATGAGGAGAAACAAACAACTATCTTAAACTCAGACGTGTCTCATAGTAATGCTACAGTAGATTGTATACTTGTAGCACATTACCTAAGAAGGGATAAAAAGTAATAATGGTGTGTGTCACGGTTCGTGTAGGGAAACTCGAATGTCTACCCTAATATTTCGACACTCCTTGTTTTGTATTCTTTATAAAAAAAACTAAAACAATAATTTTTTAGGAAGAAGAAGAATTATATTTAATGAATGAATTAAAACGTATTGAAAATGAACGTAAAGAACGTGAACGTATTATTTCACAAGATGTTCAAAAATTTGTTCAACAACAAGATCAAAATGTTTTAACAACAAATAATTCTATACAACGTACTACTTCATCATCATCAAGACGATCATCAATTAATCAAGATTATCTTCAACGTCTTAATAGTTCATCAAATCGAACATCAACAACACAAAGAATTGTAAAAAAAAAAAAAGAAAATTTCTATGAATTTTAATTTCTTTTCTTCTTAATAGACAACATGTGAACCACCAGTTGGAATTAAATTTCCTGAATTTAAACGTCCCGGTGTTTTTCTACGTAGTCAACGTGTAAGTTTTCATATAAATCCATGTAAACTATTATTCTTTATTTAATCTAGATGATATTACCATCATCAATACCAAATAAAAAATTAGCTGTTATTGATCAAGTTCTTAAACAATGTCAATTAGGTATAGAATTTTAATTAAAAATAAAATAAACTAAAATTCTTATTTTAGAAAGAAATCCAATGGCATGCGAGGAAATTGTTGATGAATTTAATGATTTACGTTCAGATATTATTCTTTTATTTGATCTTAAAAATGCATTGAATTCAGCTGAATATGAATTACAAACATCATTACATCGTTTAAAAAATGAAAATAGTTCGACAAATGTTGGAATATCATCAACACAGCCATTGAGTGCTAGTAGTACTTCATCAAATGATATTTCAAAAACAGTAAATAATTTACTAAAGAATTTCAATAAAAAGTTGAATTCGTATGTTCGCATTTTTTTTTTTGTTTTAGCAATTTGATTTCTTATTATCACAACCAAGTACACCAACTGATAATATAACATCACCAAGATTATCCGATTCATTTGAACCAACTAGTAATGTTCGTTCAAGTACTAGTGTAAGGTTTTTGCTATTAGTTCTAATAGGAACATATATATATATTAACGACTAATCAATCGAATTGTTTTTTTTTTCTATCATGAGATTTTTATCATTTATTCGTGTTAATATATTATATAGAGAATATGTGCTGTATATTCAACTTGAATAATAGATAAAGTGAACCGAAATTCAATCTAATAGTGTGAGAAAATATAGATAAAAATTATTGTATGTTTCGTTTTCATATTGATTTATTATATTTTCAATATTTACTTTTTTTCTGATTTATTCTAATGAACCATTCGGAATAATGATAGTCTATGTATTTTATGAATAATATTTCACTCAACTTTATTCGTGAAGAATTGAGACTAGACTCAAATGAATTTCCATAGAATTCTGTGTACGACGTGTAAGAAACGTCTTTTTTTTATAGAAAGCAATACTGAAATATAAAAACAAGACTATGTTTAATTATGAAAAAGTTAATGTTCTAAGTCATTTTTTTTTAAAAATTATTAGGAACCTTTGAAAGAGTTTCAAAAATAAAAATAAAATCAGTAATAGAAGTTATTTTGGTATTTTGAAATGCCTTCCTTCGTACTGCTTAGCTCAAAATTCATTAAAATTAAATAATAATTGTAAAAACTCCTATTACAAAATGACTAAAATATAATATTTGCTTTATTTTTTCCATCAAAATAAAATAAATGCGATTCAGTGAATTTCATGTTCGTCTTGAGAAACATCTGTGAAAATTAATTTTCGAATTGAACAATAGTTTTGTTGTAAGAGTTTTATACTTCTTAGTGTACTTCTATCCTGAAATAAGTACATCGCATTTACGACTGTATAGGATCGATCTAGTAGACATGCTGTATTATAGCCAAGTCTTAGGATAGAAATAACGAAAAGATCTGACACTGTCAGAAAAAAGAATATTCTCGTTAAGTGCTTTCTCTGTTCAAAGTATGATTCAAAAATGAATTTTTGTGATGTTCCGAAGGAAGTCACAGTATTGACTTACAAAATACCATAGAAATGCAATATATCCATAGGAATAAACTGAGAGTCCGAATTCTTTTCAAAGTATTCGAAGCTTATTAAGGTCTTCATGATGCACATAGTATGGAGTCAAATACCTACATTATTTTTATTTTTGTAATTGCTAGTCAATAAATAAATCTAAAAAAGGAAATATTTCTAACATAAAAAAGATTTGTTCAATTTATTTTGAGTAATCTTGTTTTTACATTTCTGTTTTACTTTCTATAGAATAATGTTCGCTACAGATCTTGTACAGATAACAATGGAGAACAATTTTAGTCTAAGCTCTACTCTTCATAGTTAAAGTTGAGATAAGACATAAAAAGATCCTATGATATAGAAAGCAACCATTATGAACATTTAAATGAGTTGTTCTTATATTTCAATAAAGAATAAATTCAGTCTAACATTATTGTATATGTTGTTTCATAGAAATAGATTAGTCATGAATATTTGTTGAAGTAAGATTTACATGTCATTCAAGTTGAATATCAGAATAAAAATGCAGCATATTTCATACTTTCTCATTGTATATAATATGTTAACAAATACACGATGGAAATATGATCTAACCTTCATCATTTATCAATGGATAAAAAAAAAAGACAGATATTTGATTTGGAAGCTTTATTCAAATGATGATTGGACGTTAACATATATTCCTACTCACATGTAGTATTAATTTCATGATTTTATATAACTTGTAGGAAAGAAAACGTCGGGCACTTTCGTCACAAACATCAACGATAAAAAAGCGTGAACGACAATCATAGATCGACAAAGATTAGATTTTTTTTTTACAATGTTTGGTTTTTTTTTTTTCTTTGATGTATAACTAAGTTGTATCTTCCTTTTCATAAGGACGCTATGTTTATTTTTTTTTTTGTTGTTATGTTTTGTTACTGTTAACTAAAACAAAAGAGAATCATTAGTTGTAAATAATCAATCATCATTTCATTTATTCATTTTCTAGATAAAAAAAAAAACTAAAATGCATATTATTTGGAATTTTCTTCTTATTGTTTTAATAGTAAATTATTCTTATGGAAAATATACAGTTAGATGGGTTACAACAAATGATCAGACATTTATAGATGAATGTTTGAAAAAATCTCTTCGATGTATGAATCGTGATGAAGATATAAATACTTTTAAATCAAAATTAACAAATATTATTTGTAAAAAACGATTTTTAAATGGATATACTATTAAATTGTATTTTGAACTTGAAGAAAAAATATGGAAATGTTTACTTTATAAACCACCTATTGAGACACTTGATATAAAATGTGAGAAATGTACACAAGAATTAGACGATGATTCACTTGAAGAAATTAAAGCAATAAAATCTAATAATATTATTCAAGAACAATCACAAGTAAATAATGACAATAATATTGACGAAAATGATGATGAAACTAAAATTGATGAACTTAATCAAAAAGCACAAGAAAAAGTAACAAATAATGATGGAACTGAAATTGATAACAATAATCATCAAATACCTAATGAAAATATAGATAATCAACAAGGTATTGAACAAAATGTAGATACGAATGAAAAAATTAATGATGGACAAGTTGAAAATGAAAATCTGAATAAAGATGAAACAAATCTTGATACAAACAATGCTGAACAAAAGACAAATGATGATGATGATGATGAAGTGTCTAATAAAGATTTAGATAATGAAAACATAAATGTTCGAGATAATGACCAACAGGAACAGCCAGACAATATCAATAATCAAGAAACAATACTTGATCAAAATGAAAATAATGATGCAGAACAAAACCAGTGATATTTATCGATATAAACCTCAATTTTTTTTTCTCATATTAAATGTGATCTAATAAATATTTTATTATTCTAATTGTTTTTATTCTGAACTAACACTGATATAATTACATTTATATTTAATACTAACAATGACGCTTCTTTTTATACAATTTCGTTTTTCTAAAATGAAAATTTTCTAATACCTGATTGAATTAATTTTTGATTTTTATATTAATAAAGATAATAGCGCAATCATGCGCAATTAAAATATGAAACATGATATTATTCGTACTTCTAATCATAAGAGAATTATTGAATTCTATCTGTTTTGGTACATAGATTCCTGATGTTCTTTTTATTTTTGACTTAATTCTTAATGAATATAATAAAATACGAGTTCATATATGAACAAAGTCTTGCTATTATCATGGAAATAGTTTTTAACATGTCTTTCACGGTCTATAATGAAGAAGAGTGTCTGAAAATCTAACATTATATTTCAATACTTCGTTCACATTATGTTTTATAAAAGATAGTTAATAATGAAAATAAATCATTTGAATGAAACATTAACAAGTATAATACAACAAAAAAATTAATAAAAAAAAAAAAAAAGATTGCAGACTGTCATTACAAATGAATTTATCTGAAGGTCAGAAATATGTTATAATATATAAGATAGAATATATAAATATTTATATGAAAAGATTGCAAAATTATTTATTATTTTATTTATGTTTACATGATTCTGAAGGTTAATATTACGAATGACGGTCAATGTTTATAATATAAATTAATTCTAGGACACATATCTTCTATCATTCATGCAATAAAACTCGTTTCCCCATTAACTAGTTACACAAGCTACGAAATATATGGATAAACAAGACAAAAAGTTTTAATAGCGATGAAAGTCATTTATCAGCTTGAATTTATTATTAATATAAAAGAAATCATCGTTAGTTAAATAAAATGTTAAAAACTTTCTCGTAAAATAAATATATATATATATATAGATTTCAAGTGAGTAAAATTTTGGCACAAAATAAAAATGATTCTATATAATGAAAAAATTTTTTTCATTTTGTAAGCTTTGAATTATATTATAAACAATTTTTCTTTCGAGAATATTTTCATACATATAATAAAAATCTATTATCATTATTACATATTAGTGTGTTTGAAAAATGCAATGTTTCTAAAAAAATTTCATCATTAGATGCTTTTATGATGCTTACATATTAGACATGTTATACATTTCATAGAACAACAAGCAAAAGAATTCTATTATGTAAGAATAACTCACATTAGAAGATGAAATAGAAGATTCTTTTCAGAGTCAACTTTCTTGCTGTTTCTACCATTTCATTGTTCTAATCACATTTGTCTCGTCTGCACACAATTATAACTAGAATATACATGCCATTTGTTTCTGTTAGTTCTATTCCCATTGGAGAAGAGGAAAAAGTGGTATAGATATTGACAACAAACTATCTATCTTTTTTTTCCTTCTCATAGAACGCTTATTATCACGATATAATACTATCTCACATTAATTCTATGCGTCAGAATCCTAGAAATAGCAAGTAAATATCTATTAAGATACAAGTCAAACTTCATTCAATGAATGAGTTTACTAGAAAAGTCGATCGTCTAATGGAACGTCTTCATCGTGGAACAGAACAATGTGATCATATAGAACAACGAGCTTGTCTTGCCGAAGAACGTTTATTTGTACTTAATGATTCTATTCAAACACTTGCTCGTCTAATTGATGTTAGTTATTTAATACTGATCTCATTGGATAAAGAAAAATTTGCATGGTTGAAATTAGTCAATAATGAAAATCCTGAATTAACAAATCCAATAGTTAAACAGTTCTTTTATCGTCTTGAATTATATTTAAGACGATCAATTATCGATAATGATGAAAAACGAGCATATATTCAAGCTTTACGTCTACTTCAATTACCATCCATTGTATCATCTGGTTTTTTTTTGAACATGAAAGAAGAAAAAAAAACGAATAACAAATAAAAAGTTTTTTTTTTTTTTAATTTAATTTTAATCTTGATCTTCATCATCGTCTTCTTCATCTTCATCAGCATTTGTTGTATTTCTAAGTGATGTTGTTTTCGATTCTTTAACTGTTCCTCCAGCTCCTGTTGCATCATCTTCATCTTCACCAGGTAATTTACCTTTAATACCACCATCTAAAAAAACATTAGATTTAATCATCAATAATATCTTAGAAATTCTTCAATATTTACCTTCATCTTCATCCGAATCTTCATTATCATCACCAGGTCTTTCAGTATTTTCTATAGCTGCATCCAACATAGCTTCCTAAATAATCAAAATAATAATAATAATAACGATAAATAGTATAAAATTGATTCGTATAAATTTACTTGAAGTGCAGCATCATCAATATCAGTTACGACTTTAGGTTCCATTTTTATTTTAAATATTCCACGATATTGTTCAATACCTTGTTTAATTTTCTCAATCACATTTCTTAATGCACTAAGACCTTCGTTACGATCAAGACATGTTGCTGTAACAACATAAAGTGGTGGAGCAATAAGATTAATCTTAAGAAAAAAATAAAAAACAAATAATTAAATTTTCTTTGATTATTATTTAAATATTTACTTTAACTGGCATTTCTTCTGTTGAAGCACTAAGACCTTCTCTTAATGCTGCTTTAACTGCATCGACACCGTCATAACCATAACATGCAACTTCAACATCTAAATATAATTAAAATAGAATATTGAAACTAAATAAAATAAAATATCTACCAGCTCGACATTTAACAGCTTGAGGAGTAAGACGACGTCGAATATTATTAATTAAAATCTTTTTCGTATTTTCATCTACTTGACAATCATCAAGTTCATGTTCATCACTGAAGAAAAAATAAAACAAGATAAATACAATTTGTTTTTCTTTTTTATAGTATTCACCTAACAGCTCGTACAAATATATCATAAGCTGCACCTGGTCGTTTATATTTTTCATCATAATACCAAGCAGTTTTTTCATATAATTCTTCAAATTCTTCATTAGTTTTTATTCCTAATACTTCAGCTGTATGACGAAGAATACTACTCACCTATAAAAATCAAAGTTTTCAAGAAATTTTTATTGATAAAACATACTGTTTTTCCACGAACAAATTTTTCTTCACATTTACTAATATCTTCTGGTGATACACGACGTTTTGATAAATCAATATAACCTAAAATAGAAACCATCATTGAAAAATTTTATTTTTCTTCTTGTTTCAGTTGTATTTAATTTCAATAAACCTTTATCACGATCGACACGAACAACAACAACAACTTCATTTCGACCAACACGAATTAATTTATTTATTGAACGAATACGCCGACGTGATAATTCAGTTAATAAGATCATACCTAATCAGAAAAATAAAATTTATATTAAAAAAAAAAAAAAAAAAGAATTGAACCTTGTCTATTATTATATTCAAGTAAATTCACGTAAACACCCATTTCTTCGATCTCGGTAACATTAACCATAACAAGATCATCTGTTTCAGGGAAATGGTTTTTGTAAAAACGACACGTTAATTGCATTATGTTTGTTTTTTTCTTGTAAATCAATCTAAACAACGAGATAATGTATGATTTTGAAGTAATTTCTTTCGTTTTAATATTTGATCGTAGAGAAAAAAACCCATATTATGAAAGTTCCAAATCTATGACTATCACAACAAACAACTGATGTAATTATGGTCTGTTGAATAAGCCTCTCGACATTGGTTGAGAAAAAATACACAAGTTACAAGGATGATGTCTCTAGTATCGCTTTATTCTATTGGGGAATGAATTTTTATTTCGTTTGATAACAGCTGTGGTTTTTTCTCTCTTTCTAATCTGTACTTTTGTTAAGTAATTGTACGTAGATGCGACAACTATTATTATTACGTCGTTCACTAATATCTGTACGATTTTCTTCGTATTCGGTATCATCTCAAGCAACAATTGCTCATGATGGACCGAATCCACCTACACTCACAGAAAATGTTGATATTACAATAGCTGGTGGGGGGCTAGTTGGAAGTGCTATGGCACTTGCTTTTGGTAAGATTTACTTCTATTTATTTTCATTTATTTATATAGTTATTTTAGCTTCATCTCCTCTATTCAAAAGTCATAAAATAGTTCTTCTGGAATCTCAATCGAAACTTCCACAAGTTTCTAAAAATAAACCATATAGTAATCGTGTTTGTGCTCTTAATGCTCAATCAATAAATTTATTTCAAAGTATGATTTCATTTCAATGTTTAACATAAAATCATTTCTTTTTCTTTTCAGAACTTGGAGCATGGGATTTAATGAAATCTATACGTGTTCAAAAAGTAGCTCGAATGCAGGTAAAATTTCTTTTCTTGAAAAAACAAAAGAAAGAAAAAGTAATTTAATTTTGTATCTTTTTTATTGGTCTGGGATGCTTGTTCAGATTCAGTTATAGCATTTGATCAAGAACATCAACCAGATAATGATTCTCTTGCTTATATCGTTGAAAATGATCTTATACAATCTTGTTTACTTGATCGATTAAAACAATTTAATATTGAACCAAGACTTAATTCAAAAGTTAAAAATTTTGAATATGAAGAAAATTCTATTCGAATTCAATTGCAAGATGAAAAAATTAATCTTCGAACAGGATTATTAGTATGTTTTATAGATTTGTCTTTTTATTTTCCTATTAATTAAAAATTTTTATTTTTATTAGATTGCAGCTGATGGTTATCAATCAAGTATTCGAGAAATGGCACGAATTTCAACCATGCAATGGGATTATAGTCAATATGGTGTTGTTGCTACACTTCAATTAGCCGATAATGTTTGTTTATTTTGATTTAAAAAAAAGACATGATTTATTATTTGAAAGATTTAGATGCCAGATAATGTTGTTGCTTGGCAACGATTTTTACCTACAGGTCCAATAGCTTGTTTACCAGTAAAATATACGAAATGATATTAT